GCGCTGCCATCTCAGCTTGAGGTGACGTCAGCGTGTGCCCCCGGTGCCCACGCGCCTCGAACGAGGACGGCTTAAGTCTCATGCGCGATGCAGTCTCCAACAGATTGCCTGGCCTCGCGTTCCGCTCTCCCTATTCATCGACAAGAATCGCGCAAATCTCGTCACCCGCGGCCCTCCCACAAGCACAACCCTGTGGCCGACGCCGATGCCGATGCGGTGAGCAGGCATCGGATGGCAGGGCGCCTTCCTTCTCTCCCAGCGTACCCTCGCTGGGAGCAGTCCTACTTCGCACTCGTCCTGTCCCGTCTTCCCAGCTCCGTGGACTCACCCGGCAGACGAGCACTGCGCCCTCCTGGAAAACAATCTGCGCATGATGGAGCGTTCCCCGCCATGTCATTACATTTTCCAGACGCACGGACGGTCAATAGAAACGGGCCCCGTGGTCGTGATGAATGGAGAGGAGACGCGCCGCGCTCTAACCTGGCTGAGGAGGTCGGTGCGATGCCCCTCCGATTACTGGGCATTACTCTGGGCTTTAATGCGGCCGTGGCTGCGCGGAGCCAGCACTTTAGTGCTTATCGCTTGGCAAAAGTGGATGGAGATATTCGGGGAGATCATTGAAATAGCCAGATCTGGTCATTATCCAATCAGCGTGGTGACACCACATCGCGCTGGACTTTATCCAATAAACGCATGATGGCACCACATCACACAACTGCGGATGTGGTGCCATCAAGCATCGCAGCTTTATAGGCCATGTTTGTAATTATGTGCATGACGAGCAAGCACAGAGGTGCGATGAAAGCTAAGAGGCGGTTAGGTTATCGCGACGCTCAGGTGACGTTCAGAAGATATTACACTCACTGAGAGGCCGATATGCAAAAATGTTTAGCCTGCAGATGTGCAGAATGTGTTTGGACATCTCATTTAATGAGGTAGGAAGCACAAGCACTGGTGATAACTTTGCTTGGCAAAGCTATTGGGCCTTTGGTAGCACTGTTCACAATCAAAGTAGGTAGCTATACACCTAAGTTAAAACTCTTCAGTCAACACAAATGAATAACCGCTTAACTAGTCGATATGTGGCCTGGAGGGTGGGAGAACGGATCTTTAATCGTGTCTTAGGCGGATGCTGGAAGGGGACCACTGATGGTGTGGTGCGGGGCCAGCTTTTTCGTCCCTTCAATGATAAGCCGTCTGTGGAATGACAGAAAGGCCGAAGGGAAACACAGGCTGGTGTGTGGGAAATAGATTCCACACTTAGTGCTGGGTAGTGTCTCGTCCATCGATAATTCCCTTGGGCTAGGTCATAAGATTGCACTTATTTTACAAGCAGTTGTCAGATAATTTCCAAACCGAACTTGATTTATCACATGATGAAGTCAGTAATTCGTTGACAACAGCGGCGGGTAACAGTTCGGGAACAAGTGCACCTCACGGATACCTTCAATTACATCAGCGATTTAGTGATGTGTAGTACTCCTCAGAAGATGTAGGGGCGTTGTCTGATGACATGTTCGATGACGTCACTGATGTAGTGACGTGGGCTGGTTGCTTTCAGGTGGAGGATGAGTGTGGCTCGATCCCGATGGTGCTCGTCCAGAACAAAATCGACCTCATCGACCGCGCCACCATCGACGCGTAAGTGCTCTGGGGCTTGACCATTGCACTATGACAAGCAGGGGACCGGGTCATATGCACGTGGGACTTTTCCTGCAGACAACCGTCGTTAGCTACGATTAAATTGCGTCAAAACGGCAAGCACATGACACCATCATTTGTGCACGTTACAGGGATGCATAGATAATCACAAGTCGTTGGCGCAAAACCCGAGGAAATCTTTCATCTAAGTGCATGGTTGTGTGCCATCCCCGCAAGCGTCAAGCCTGTAATGCACTTTCTGATCACATTTTGTTTCGCACCTGACACAACGCGCCTGTTACAGCCGTGTAGAGAGAGTGAGTCGACTAAAGGATGTGTATTGACGGACGTGTGTTGGCAGCGAGGAGGCGGAGGCGCTGGCGCGCGAACTGAAGGTGCGTCTGTACCGCACCTCCGTGAAGGAGGACCTGAACGTGAGCCAGGTGTTCACGTACCTGGCCGAGCGGTACCTGGCCGAGATGCGCACCTGGGAGGACGACGAGTTCGAGCCGCGCACCGTCATCACCACCAGTGAGTACCGTCAGCACCATTAATGGGTGCAGTCATGGGTCAGTACAGCCAGTGGGAATGAATATCGGCATCACCACCAGTGAATACCGTCAGCAACATTAATAGGTGCCGTCATAGATCAGTACAGCCAGTGGGAATGGGATCGGCATCACCACCAGTGAATACCGTCAGCAACATTAACGTGCGCCGTCATGGGTCAGTACTGCCAGTGGGAGTGAGTACATCATCACCACTAGTGGGCATTGTCATCATCAGTCGACACGACCGGCACGTGACGTCACCGGTACGGCACGCGTGCCTGAGGCCAAATTTATATGTCTTGGTTGGATTTTGTCCGGTGTGGGTCGGCAGAAGTAACTTATTTCCCCTGTTGCGGTAAAAAAGGGGAATACGAAACCCATCTCGCTGTCAGTGCCCGTGGGTGATGGGCGCATCTGTGACCGCACGTGCATTTTGCATTTCGTACGTGCAATTGGAAAGCGAGACACTTAGGGTAATGCAAGTCAGTGAAACGTGCGGACATGTTCATATTACTGACGGCAGTTTGCCTTTGCAGACATATTCTCCTCCCACGGCTACAAGTTTCACGGGAAGCCGGGGCCCTACGACTCCGGCATTATTTCGCTGCACCCGCACGGCCGCCGACGGTTCCAGAAAAAGCGACACCTTTGGAAGAACATCTGCATGGCCTAGACGAGACCCCTCGGCTGGTGCTCGCCTCCACGTGCGGAGCCGCAGTCTCCATGGCGGGAGTTGCATCTGAACTGATCGTGAGCGCGAGGGTGCCAAACAACGGCTGGGTGGCTCCAGTGAAGTGCTGTCGCGAGGTAACTCCCCGAGCCGCTCCAAAAGAAGATAGGTGGCAGCACTCGTGGCTGCGCGAACTGGGTTTCCGTGCCACTCGTCGCGCGTAGCGCGTTGCGCGAATCGAACGACGCCCGCGGACGGTAGCTGCAGGAGCCATGTGATAATAGGTGTGTGTGTGTGTGTCCCAGTGTTTGTGCCATGTATCCGCCGGTGTTGTGCGTCGCTAACACAGTGCAAATGCGTCAGGAGCGATCGACGAGCGGGTACCCGCTTCGCGCTGTTGCTGCAGCCTTTTCGAGTGCCGCGGCGATCCGCAAGGAACGCACGTCTTGGAACTTGTATATTGCGGGACATAGAGCACTGGAAATCCGCGATGGATGGTTCTGGCTCGTGCCAGACAAACCTGACGAGCCGCCACCGTGCTGACGAGAAGAGCCGACTGCCCTTCGGCTGACCGACCGGCGGCCAGCCATGCACTTTTGCTACCGTGATGTGCAGGTATTCCAGTATTATGCTCAATAAAATACGTTAAAAGCTACGAGTTCTCTCTACCGTGGGCCAAACCCGACAAGTCATCTGTTCATTCCTATTGTTTACCGCTAAGTTGTTACGTGTTTAATGTTCTGTTATTGGTGAAGTCAGCGCAACAATGCAATCCTAGGACACGCTGTCGTGCAAGGCATGCTCTTCGTTCGGTGGTTTGCCCGTCACTCTCAGCGATTAAATGCTTGGCTCTGGTCAGTAAGCCCGTAGCAGTCAATACTTCCGGCGACAGCAGTCACGGCCCGCGCCATTATCTGCGGATGAGTTATTGCCACGGAGTCGAGGAGTGCCAGACAAGGGTCTGACTCGATGATTGGTCGCTGGAGTTCTCCGGTCCCGGGCCCTGTTGTGTCCGACACGCCGCGTGGTCCCGCTGCAGCTGGTGGTCAAGAGCATGCGATGAAGTCTGATGCGCTGCCAGTTGGTAGTGGGTGGCCAGTGATCTTTCTTCGGCCAAGCAGCCCAGATTAGAGTGTTAAGGCAGAAGCGGACTAGAGGTCCTCGGTGGCGGAACCAGGAATTCGTCCAGGGGAAGTGGCAAATGGGATCAGGTGACTCTTGGCCAGTGAGACCGATGTGACTGAAATTGCATTATGATGGAAAAACAGCCGGCGTAGACGATGGGTTTATCTAATATCTCAACATAGAGAAATACTGTAATCCATGGCCTGTTTCAGAGGGCTTGATATCGTCCACGGAGCTTACGAAATAAAAACAACTACTATGCGACAACAATTTACCTTACGAAGCCAACCTGTTTCTAATCTTTTTCAGGTTCGTAAGGTTAGCAGGAGTTTCACACTCCCATTTGGCAAATATCAACAACCTGTTCGAGTTCGCTCAACCTTGGCAGAAGTTGGGCTCCGTAAATAGCCAGCTGAACACGTTTTGCTGCGCATTTAGAAGTTTGGCCTCCAGAGGTCATCAAAGGCTTGAACAGAATTAGGCGAGAAAATACATTGCCACATGCTCGTGTATATATATATATATATATATATATATATATATATATACTAATGAATATGCATATATTTGATTGCATGAATAAGTGTACGTGCCATGAAATTATGAATCCTTTCATTGTATGCATGCAATACGCCAAGCCAAATTGTACCATTTGAAATAATTTTTGAACCTGTCGCGCAAACACGAAATAGATGAGATGTGAGCAATGCATTCTGCTCACGTTCCCAGCAAGAAGCGCCATGAGATGGTGATCTGTGTATTTATCCAGAGCGAACCAAATTGTTGACAGAGCTTCTCAGTGGTGCTGGGCACCGGCCATGGCGCCGTCGGGCAGAAAACTATGTGAATGGTTTCTAACAAGGAAACGAAACATGGAGCAATTATTGGGGTGAAAATGTCCCACAAGCCGTGACGTTGCCGCTGGTCCGGATGCCTTGAAATGGAGGCCAAACAACGTGAAGCTGGGAAGCTATGTCGAAGTGGAGGACGTCATCGTGGGGCAGCGGACTCCTCAGGGCCTGCCTTCTCGTCCTGTCCTCCGCTAACGGCGGCCCCACCGCCTGCGGCTGAAGCGTCTGCGGGATCCGAAGCGTCTGTTGTTTCTAGGGGCCGAGGGTTGCCAGGACAGCGCCAGCTGGTTAGCGTCATCGTTGGCGCACGAGTACGGCGCCAGTTCGCCCCAGCAGTCGATGAACTCGGCGACCGTCTCGGCGCCGCGCTCCACACAGGCGTCCAGCAGGGCGAGTCGCATGTCCTTGTCGGATTGCGCGTCGCCGCTGTCCTCGATCGCGAGGCGGACGGCAGTGGTGTTGACGTCGTCGCCGCTGGCCAGACCGCTCGCCTGCAGCGTGCAGTTGATGACGTCGCTGAAGGCGTCGTCTGCGAGGGTGCACGTCTCCCCCGAGGAGCCCAGCAGGCGCTGGCCGAGCGCATTGAGGCCAGCCAGCGTGATCGACGAGAGAGACCCCATTTTGCAGGTCCACCAGGTGGTCCTGGAGACGAGTGAGCGCGCGCTGGCGCTGCAGTGGCTGATCAGCGAGCTGACCCGCAGGCAGGCCGTGCCGCTGGAGGCGGCGGTGCAGTCGAGCAGCGCTCGCTTCTTCAGGCAGGCGAGGATGTAGACGCCCTGCTGCGGCGCGCTTAGGCTGGCGTCCATCGCGCTCACGCAGGCATTCACGTTCGCCTTCTGCTGGTCCGTCCACGTGGTGTTGGACGAGAGCGAGTCGATCAGTGTCTCCAGCGCCGGCACGTTCAGGCCGGTGCTGTTAGTGATTTCGAGCCTGGCGGCAATGAGATATAAATAAGCTTTATTTGTTTGTCATCTACCACGCAAAGCTGGTGTCAGTTTTATACTTACGTGGCAGTAAACGGTCAGTTCGCAGGTGACCTCAGCGGTTTGCAACCGCTGGCAGGGGCCTAGCATAGACAATGTTTACCAAATCAAGCATTTGAACCTGTGGGTTTGGACGTCAGAAGGATGCTTTTGTGCACTGTGAGGCGAGTGGAAAGACCACTCAGTGCGCGTGTTACACGGTAGTCCCAAACAGGCTCAGTCACAAGTTTACACCGACCAATCAGGCATCACAGAACAGCAGCTTGGATCGGGCCGACCAATCGGGCATAACAGAAAAGCAGCCTTAATCAGGCTGACCAACCAAGCATAACATAACAGCAGCCCGGATCAGGTCGACCAATCACGCATAACAGAACAGCAGTCCGGATCAGGCCGACCAATCAGACATAACAGAACAACAGCCTGGATCAGACAGGCTGACGATACCTCCCGCGCCACCCGGCCTGCCCTGCGCCCGCTCCGAACTCCACCTCGTCTCACCGTTCTGCCAGACACTGCAGGAGCGTGCCAGCCCCACTTCTGCGATGGCGCCTGAAAAACCCGAATGGTGACCGCCTGTATCTGCCGCGGCGCCTGCGGAACCCGAACCCGCTGAACGACGACCGCTGGGGGCGGCAGGCAGCCAGCGCCGCCGTCACCTCCGCTGGCTCGGTGAAGTTGTCCGGCAGGCAGCCGCGCTCCGCCAGCAAGGTGAACGGGCTCACGCTGTCACGGCGATATCCGAACGCTGCGGGGCAGGGCTGGGTGTTGGGATCGCCCCGTTCCAGCAGCTCTGGTTATACCACGGAGCAAGTGGTCAGTAGCGAGCAGTCTTTAGTCATGCATCAGATCGCTTTTTTGGGGTCTGTTCGTCGACTCACAAAAATCGCTTTGAATCGGGTCGTTGCCGTCAGTTAAACGATTTTGTCTGTCAGTTCCGTCCACACCTTTAATCACACACAGATCGCAACTGAGACCAAGTTTTGTTCCCCTACCACCACTCATATCCTACATACAACTTTTCGTTTTGAAAGGTGTACTGACTGCATTGCATGCATTAATGCAGTAGATTATTGCATGTGGCACACGTCGATTGTGGATTACTGGCGTGTGCTGGCGCTTCTTTGCAATGCAACTCAGAACTGACCATGAACCCTAGAGGCTTGCCCGGATCTGTGCAACGCCTAGCTGGGCTTGACAGGAGCACAGGCGCCCAGCACTTGGGCATCAGAGAATAGTTGACCTACCGTCAGCCGACACCAGCAGGACCGTCACGACCAGGAGCGACAGGGCCAGTCCTCCTGTTGCCGCCAT